TTTTTTTTTTTTTTTTTTTTTTGAAAAATTGTTGGATTTGTCTAAAAATAAAATTTAGTCAATTAATTTCGAAATCTATTATATTTTCTACGTAATCCCACTATTATATGCTTCATGTTTAATTAATTTATGCCCATAAATTAATTAATAATATTGAAACAAGGGAGTTGGAGAAAGAAAAAGAGTAATTTTTAAAAAAAAATTTAAAAGATTAATGTTTATATTATTTTCAGCTGATTGGGAAAACTCCAATTGTATATCTTAACAAAGTCACTGAAGGGTGTGGAGGTTATGTAGCTGTGAAGCAAGAAATGATGCAGCCTACTTCCAGCATCAAAGACAGGTACTCTCACTCTCTTCTTACAATTCATTCTGTTCTCATTCATTTTGTACATTTTGTAATCTGTTCTGTTTCCTTTCATCATCATTAGACCGGCTTTCGCGATGATCGCCGATGCCGAAAAGAAAGGTTTGATTACTCCTGGAAAGGTCAGCTTGTAAAACTCTTAGGCTGCAAGATTTAACAACAAAAATCCTCTTTTCTGAACTTCTGAAACTCGGGTTTTCGATGTCTAGACGACTTTGATCGAGCCAACGTCGGGAAACATGGGAATTAGTATGGCCTTTATGGCTACCATGAAAGGCTACAAAATGGTTCTGACCATGCCTTCTTATACAAGCTTGGAAAGAAGAGTTACAATGAGAGCATTTGGAGCTGAATTGATTGTCACCGACCCTACTAAAGGCATGGGAGGTACTGTCAAAAAGGCTTATGATCTTTTGGAATCAACACCTGATGGCTTCATGCTCCAACAGTTCTCAAACCCTGCCAATACTCAGGTTCCTAATTAAAATCCATTTTTCTTAGCTAATTTCTATGAAGTTTTTCGAAAACAAGATACCTCGCTCGATCAAAAGACGTCGTTGGTAGATATATGATTGCCCTGAAGATGGTTTTTTTTAAAAAATGATCAAACAGGTGCATTTTGATACGACTGGCCCTGAGATATGGGAGGACACAAATGGACAAGTTGACATTTTTGTGATGGGAATAGGCAGTGGAGGGACTGTCTCTGGAGTGGGACAGTATCTGAAATCTCGAAATCCCAATGTTAAGGTATGTGATTATGTTATGAACTTTTGCTTCGTTAGAACATGGATTAGAATTCCTTACCAATGGTTCATATTCTGTCTCTTTACTGAAGATTTATGGAGTGGAGCCTGCTGAAAGTAATGTACTGAATGGTGGTAAACCAGGTATGATTAGAATGGCCTGCTTGGATGTTTTAGTTTGGATAATGTATTGGACATGAAATAGGTTAAAAATAAGAAATTTGAGAGTGAAATATATCAAACTTGTTTGTGAAGAAACATCTTGACTAAAAACTCATAACAAAACGAGATATCATCTCACATTGGTTGGAGAGGAGAACGAAGCATTCCTTATAAGGGTGTGGAAACCTTTCCTTAGCGGACGCGTTTTAAAACTTTGAGGGGAAGCTCATAAGGAAAAACTCAAATAGGACAATATCTATTAGCGATGTGCTTGGGCTATTACAAATGGTATCAGAGCTAGACACTGGGCAGTGTGCCAACGAGGACACTGGACCCCAAGGAAGGTGGATTGTGAGATCCCACATTGATTGGACAAGAGAACGAAACATTCGTTATAAGAGTGTGGAAACTTTTTCCTAATAGACGCGTTTTAAAACCTTGAGGGGAAGCCCAAATAGAACAATATCTACTAGCGGTGGGCTTGGATGGCTATAGATTGTCAAGTCTCTCCATTTTTTCTAAGATTGGATTCTCAACGCGTGCATGTTCTAAAACTTTTGAAAACGACATGTCAGTGGGTTTTTCCGTGTTGTGTCCGTGCTTCGTTTGTGATAGGTTAATAGCAGATTCTTGATAGCTCTCATCAATCTTCTTTGATTGCTACCTCAGTGGTTACACGAAACTAATGGGGCCTGGTGTTATGAATTGGATCAGGTCCTCATCATATCACAGGCAATGGGGTTGGATTCAAGCCAGATATATTGGATATGGATGTAATGGATAAAGTTCTTGAAGTAAGTTTTTACCTTCTTCACATATTTTTTACCTCCTAAAGATTAGATTACAAATTTACATATTCTCAAACAAATTTACTTGCCAGGTAAGCAGTGAAGATGCTGTAAATATGGCTAGGGAACTGGCTGTGAAGGAAGGACTAATGGTAAAAGAACAAACACCAACTTTTTTTTTTACCTTTTATCTTACAGAATCATCTTCCTGTCCCTTTTGGTTTAAGATTTGAGCTTCATTTTTGTTGTTTGTTCAGGTCGGGATATCGTCCGGGGCCAATACGGTCGCTGCGCTCAGGCTTGCGAGATTACCCGAAAACAAAGGCAAACTTATTGTGGTAAGAACAGTTCTACACTCTTAAACAATCTGTAGAGTGTTTCTCGAATCGAGATAAGTTGGAATAAATTGTTAATTTGGTTGCGTTTTCAGACAATTCATCCAAGTTTTGGGGAGAGATATTTGTCATCTGTGCTGTTCCAAGAATTGAGGAAAGAAGCTGAGAACATGCAACCCGTCTCAGTTGACTAAAGCTCGAGATATAGCTGAAGCTGAATCCACTCTGTTTCCAGCGTGAAGAATAAAATTTTATCCAATCTTATGTTCGATCAATGTTTAGTTCATTTTGTATTGTTTAAAATTTTATATATATTGTAAGAATGTTTACCAGAAAAAAAAAAAAAAAAAATCCCTCCATTTTTATTCAATGTGTTTATTCAATTTTTAAATTTTCAAAAGGATTTTCAATTTTTATTTAGTATGATATATATTTTATGGTATGATATTATTTAAAATTTAAAGATTTTATTTTTTAGTCACAAATGATTTTTAAAAAATTGAATAATATATTTATTCTTGTTTTCTTAATAATTTTTTTTAATTATAAAGTTTAGTTAATACAAAAAGTTAAATGGATAATAATTTTTATAAATTTCTAAATAATAGGCTAAAAATAGTAGATTTGCAATAAAATTGAGTGGTGAACTAATATTCTCATAAATACAAAAATTATTTTGATTATTATTACCAATTTAATTTTAGAATTATTAAAATAAATTTGAATAATTTAGTTAAAAGAAAACACTCAATTTTCTAATTTATTTTATGTTTCATAAAAATTCTTCATCAAATTATTTTCTATTTAATTTCTTTTTTAATTTTTGGTTAATATTTAATTTATATTTTTAAAATAAAAGTTTATTTTGAGGGAGGACGATAAATAAATTTTGTTCCTCCCTAAAATTTTTAATATTAATATTTGATAACTTAAATCAATTTTATTAGACTTAATTTCTATTCTAATGTCAGTTCTCTCTATTTTCGTCCCCTAAACTTAATTTCTTTATTATATTGGTTACAATTTTTTTTTTTCCTCCTAAACTTAATTTTTTTTAATATAATAATTGTTTTTTATGATAATAATTCCATTTTTTTTTCTCCTATCTTATTTTTCATAGAAATTTCTATTACAGTTATTCATGTCTATCCCGTTATTAATTTTCATTTCCGTTAAATTCTAGTTTTTCTTTATTATAGTTATTCAAGTCTGTCCCGTTATTAATTTTCATTTCCGTTAAATTCTAGTTTTTCTTTATTATAGTTATCCATGTCTGTCCCGTTTTTAATTTTCATTTCCATTAAATTCTAGTTTACTTTTCTTTATTGTAGTATTCATTTCCGTTAAATTCTAGTTTACTTTTCTTTATTATAGTTATCCATGTCGGTCCGTGTTTAATTTTAAATTCTAGTTTACTTTTCTTTATTATAGTTATCCATGTCTGTCCCGTTCCTTCTCTTAGTTATCTATGTCCCGTTCCTTCTTCTATTTTAATTTTCATTTCCGTTTACAATTTACTCAAACCCCAAACCACAGGATAAAAACTTATAAAACTCAAAATCATCCAATTTCATAGTCCATAGAGATCAATAAAGAACCTTAGAATAAGTACCTAAATTAATTTATCAATGTATGGAGGGCCAAAGACAAAGCACACCACCAAATTTTCAACTAAAAATTCTGATAGTGTATGGCAAAGCCAAGGATCAATGGACAAATAAGACATTATGAACTATAATTGACAAATGAGGACAAGTGAGAGCTACTATGAACTATTAACTATTCAAAGTGTAATTTTAACCATGACCATGCTACGTTTTTTCCATGTCAACGTGACTAAACAAATATACATGGATGAAACTTTTGGATCCAACAAAATAACATCTCTTCAATCTATTTGTCTCGCTTAAGAGAGCCTTGTGACCCAAAAGCGGCCAAAACAATTCATCAACCCTTCAATTTGATCGAAACGGAGCAGCATAACCCAAAATCAAAATTGCTCGAGCCTCAAAATTCAGCTTGTTTTCGTAACAATGACTCAGTAAATCACGACGTCCTCGTCCCCGTCCCCCGTCCCCGTCCCCGTCGCTACCATTTTTCACAGGCTACAACTGCACCTTTCCATGTAAGGTCACAAAAAAATTTCCCTTCCCCACTCAACTAAAATTATTTATCAAAAAATGCATATTTCCAAATCAGAATCAACATCGGTGCTCGTCAAAAAATCGTTTTTGAGCGATGTCTCAAGCTTACCGTGGCTTCTTGGGAGAGTAGAAAATGGAGTCTGATGAATTATGCACTTCGTTTCGAAGTCCATTCGTTACAATTCCAGATTCCGACTCTTCATCACTATCGATTTCATTTGGTGTAACCCGATTTTGGTGTCCTCTACGACGTAAAAGAAAGACATTATAGTAGTAGCAAACAAGATCCGCCTTGCTCCTAGAAGGAAATGACTCAATGATCTCATCCCAAAAAGAAATCCCGAGGGACGGAGGGTTCGATGTCACGATGTCCTCAAACTTTTTCTCATCGTCAGCAGTCCATGAAAACGTAACATCTTCCCCCATCTTATCAAATCTCCATTGGAGGAACGCATCGCCCAACTCCAGCTTCACTTTGTGTCTTTTCTCAGTAACATGAAATTTGACACAACCAACCGAGTTGGCGTCGAAGCACCCACAAGGGTCTCGCCTTCCTCTCCCAATGGGATCCCGTTCGACTAGATATCGGTTCCTTCCTTTCTTCAAGGGCCATTCTTGAGTTCCCAACCACTTTAAATCGCTTTCGGATATCACGCCATTCCATTCTGGTACTTGAGCTTGGTAATCTGACCCCAGAGGAACGGGCTTGTAATCATCTGATGAATCTGTAGGTGAGGAATCACTTGTTTTAGAGACAGGTTCTTGAGAAAGATCCTTCTTCTCAAAGCTTAATCTCTTCCTAAGATTGTAAATCGGAACCATATCGTCGTCGTACATACAAGGATGCATCCTCTGATTTCTCTGCAAATAGGGAAGATGAGGTGAACAGGAAAGTAATCAAATTAATTCAAATATATTAATTTCTATGATGTATGCAATACAACTCCTACATGACACAAAAGGTATGTATTGTGTATCTATCAAATTTAGTATTATGTCTACAAATATCACCTGAGACTTAACTTAAATACACTGCCAAAATTAACAAGGATAAAAACAGAAATTTCTGAGTTTAAAAACCAAAATAGAAATATAATGATTTAATCATCCATTTATGATTTTTGTTGGTAAACTAGTACACAAAGTTCCATATCTAATGGCTAAATTAATAAAAATACCCATAAAATTTTGTATTTTGTCTCAAAAATACCTTACCATAACCACTGCATGGACAGAATGTATAACGATTCAAAGATACCCATAAACATTCAAAGTAACATTTATATCCTTCAATTTTTAGAAAAAAATTAATTTCCTTTTTATTATTGGTGTATGTACATCAATCATTTATCTGCACTCCAATAGCCAATTTTTTTAAAATTTAGAGTTGGAAAAGAACCAACTTTCAACACAAATTATGTATTGAAATTTATAAAAGGTATGTTTGGAAATGCTCCTTCCTATTTGAAGTTTTAATATTTAAGAAGAGAGAAAAAAAAAAGAAAAAGAAAAAAAAAGAGAAATTGGAAAGATTATAAATATTAAAGAATGAAATAAAGGAATTAAGAGAGTATTAAAAAAAAAAAAAAGAGAGAGAGAAATAAGAAATTGTTAAGCAATAAGTTGAAGTTGATGAGAAAGGGAAAATGAGAGGGACAAATAACAATAAAAGTATTTTTTAGTTTTTAAAAAGGTTCGAAGGGTTTTGATGAAACTTTTATCTAAGATTAATGGTAAAGGTATTTTTTAATTTTTTTTTTAAGTTATGAGTATTGTTTAGATGTTTTTTTTTTTTTTAAGTTTTGTTTAGATGGTTTTTAAAGTTTAAGGTTATTATTGAAACTTTTGAAAATTTAAGGATATTTTTTTTAAGATAAAGTGCAAAGTTAAAGGTAGTTTTATTAATTTAGCCATTTATAATTATAGTTTGATGTTTTATTTGGTCAAGATTATGTATTTCCTTTTTTGGAAAATCTTACCATTTTAAAAGTGTCTCGAGGTACTTGAGACCCCTCCCATCTTGATATCACTCTCAAGCTCTAAGAAGAGGATTTCATACCTTTATAAAGAATGTTTCGTTCCTCACTCAACCGATATGGGATCTCACAATCTACCCCCTTCAAGACCTAGTATCTTCGTTGACACACTGCTCAGTGCCTAACTCTAATATCATTTGAAACAGCTCAAGCCCACCGCTAACAAATATTGTTATCTTTGGGCTTTCCCTTCCGAGTTTCCCCTCAAGGTTTTAAAAAAGCGTCTACTATAGAGAGGTTTCCACACTCTTATAAAAAAATGCTTCGTTCTGCTCTCCAACCAATGTGGGATCTGCTAGGGAGAGGATTCCACACCATTACGAAAAATGCTTTGTTCCTTCTCCAACCGATGTGGGATCTCAGTCCTCGTAACATTGCTATCATCAACCAACCTAAAAAGTGTTCTCAAGGCATTTTTTATACTTTTAAGGACATCTCCAGACACACCCTTGGTGCAGATCAAAAATAGAAAATAGCCGATGAAGCCTAGAACTAAGATAAATGAAATCAATATCTTAACTAGTTTCATCTTCTTCTTAATAAAGGAACCACAGTTCTAAGCAGCTAATACTCAAAGTATCTTCACAAGGAGATAAATCTTATTCAGAATTGATAAGAAGGATTCCTCAGCTTTGTATACACACAAGGACACTGCAAAAGTTCCTAAAAACTAAAGAGGCTCATGACACTATCAATGATCCATATTGGCTTTCACAATGAGGATCTTTGCAGTTTACAACTAACAGAACATTGTTTAAGATGTAAACATATACTAATCAAAACGATATGAAGAACAATAAAAGATTAAAGCAGCCTGAAAATTACCACAATCAACTTTATCATGAAACAATCAGAACGCACAGGACTTCATACGAACACAGATATAGACAGTTTTGTTATTAACCTTTCATGTGGATCGACAACTATATATGGACAAAGACGTAATATAAACAACTCGAGGATTTATGTAAAGTACCTGCACCAGAGATTGTTCGCTACTTGAATCAACTTGTCGTTTCACAAACATTTCCTCTCGAACCAGCAAAACTTGTTTCCAAATCTCTTCATTTCCATATGATTTCCATTTCGACTTTTCGGGTAATGAACATACTGAAGGATCGCACGGGTTTCTTGCAATCCCTTTAAGCCAATTAAGCAATCCCAACATTCGTTCCTCCTTTCTCTCCGGGGTAAAATTCGGTTCCTTGACTAAACGTAGATCAATAATTTTTATATCCTCACTTTCATTGTTGCAATGATTAATATCCTTGAGTTTCTTGCTTCTGCGAGGAAATACATCCCCACTCTTCATCTTATCACTCTTCATAGCGAGTATTCTCTTGGAAAAATCTGAAATTGAATTTTCATCAAAGGCAACATAATTCATGAACTCATCTGACAACATGACTGCCGTTTCCTTTTGGTTTCAGCCCAATTCTCAACCATTGCGAGACACTACCACTCCTTTTGCTGAGTTTTCATACAGCAATTCCTAATCGGTAGACTCATGAACTCAGCTCCCTTCTACTAATCGAGAATCTCTTACTGAGTTTAATGAACTCAGCAGACTTGTTTCAATTCTCGTAACATCCCAAAGTTCACAACCTATTAAAATGAATCCAAAATCTAACAAACACACCCTTCGTTCAATCTTCTTCGCAGCACCTTCGTAATCTAATTCAGAACCATCAGCTATCATCCAAGATCCTGCCATCAATCGGAACTCAAACCCTAAAAATCAAACGCAAACACCCTGGTTCCATTTTCGCGAGACAAAACAAAATCACACTAAGCTACGAAGACCATAAACAAATCAAATGGATGAAAAAGAACACACACGTTGAGAATCAGCAATTGGGTAAGACGATCAGAGTTTTGGCGGGAAAACGAAATTGATCTATGGCGTTTTCAAAATCAAAAAGTTAAATATTCATACATCCCGCCAATAGCGTCATATTTGCAGATAAATTGAAATGTCATTATACAAAAGAGAGAGAGAGAGAAAGCGAAGGTGAATGCATCATTGACCATGAGAGGCTAGAATTCAAAGATCATGAAGAAATACAGAGAAATGTAGACGAAAATGAAGAATATACCGCCATTTTTAATGGTGATTGGAAGAGAAAAAGAGAGAGAAAAAAGAAACGTACCAGTTAGTAATATGATTGTTTTGGAAGGGAGCGTTCTCTACGCAACAGTGTCTTCTTCTACTACGATTACTACTACTACTACTACTACAACCACTACTCTACCGCCCTCCACATCCTTTAAAGCTCCTCGCTAGATTTGCCTTGTTTTTCTCTCTCATTTGGCCATTTTCCCCCCTTTTTTAAGGGTATTTTTATGGGGTTCTTCGAAAAAGATGGGTTCGAAGATGGGAAGTTTTTAGTTTTTAAACCCAAAATCAAAAATTATGGATTTTAGGGTTTTGAGGAAGGGGAAGAAGACACTAAGAAGACCCCCCCTTTATTTATAATCAACTTGATGAAACTAACCATGGTTTGAATTTAACCTTGTGCTTGAGTTAAGGTAACTTATGAGGGTTACTTTTTTTTTTTTTTTTTTTTTTGAAATACTATTTTCGTCTCGATGTTTGTGTTTCATTCGATGTTAATGTAAATTGAGTCGATGTACTTTTAATAAATCTTAAATTTAGTCATTTGAATAAATTTTTCGACAAAAAAACATATCATTTTAAGATTTAGAGATGTCTTAGAAGTTTCGTTGCAGAATGGGGAGGGAGCGAGGAGAGATTTCTCCCTATTGTTTAAACATAGATGGGGACGTGGATTAGAATGTACACTGGTTGGGTTGGGTAGGGTAAAACGAACGTTTGACCTAGTTGTAATTATGAATAACTCGTGGATGATCGATTAGTTTGTAATGATTATATCTATGAACACAATGTGTTTTGCAGTGTATAAGAATGTAACATAGCATAATTGAACGTTCGAATCACTTCACAAGATAGTTTGACCAATTTAGGTTGGGCTAGGTAATAGGTTGAGCCCAGAGCCAAACAAGTCCAAGTTCACTAAAAGGGAACTAGGCCGAACCCAACCCAAGTAATTTAAAATCTTAAACAACAACTTGGTCTAAGCCCACATAAATCAGCTCGAACAACCTTTATTAAATAATAAACTCAATCCAATCCTAAATTTCTTTAGTTGGGTTGGTTTGAGTTGTTCGGTTATTATTTTTTTTTTTTTTTAAGTAAAATACACTAGATTTTATAGTATGATGATAAATTAACTACGACGAAATCCAATAATTCTCATTTTCTTCTTGTTCATTAATTGAAAATCGAGACAAATTGGATATGATAGTGAAATGTTAAAGCACTTGATCCCATTTCGACCTCGATATGTAAAATCAAGAATGGATGAAATCAATCATCACTGCAAATCGCGCAACAGAGCTGAGAAACGAATTGTTGTGCAACAACTAGAACTCATGTCCAAGGAGTTTTGAGCGTGAGCTTCTACTCATGCAACGACAAATTTCTTCTGGTTATCTATTTCCTTACACTTTATTTTTCTGGTAGAATTCAATTCATACTATTTTTCTATATATAGCTCACGCATGCACACATGAATCCATTAGTCAGGCTTGTAAGCGTACCCTCTAGGCCTATGGGCTAACACATGCTCAGGTTGTTGAAAACCAATGGAAAAGGAATGAACGTGTATAATATCATAGTGTATTTTTCTGTAATATATTGGAGAAGTAATCGATGCTCATGTGACATATAATATGTATGTGGTCCCGCATTTAGAAAACATGGTTAAGTGAACTGATGCACATAATACTTCCATACTTATCATGACATGAAATCTCTATGAGATGTGCATACATATTAATGATGTCTCATTTATGATCATCATACATGGTACATCATAATGTCTCAGAACATAAACGTAATTATATCAGTACGTTCTACAGTTGGGAAATATATGCATCACAAAAAATAATTAGAATATCATAACATAAAGTAATATAACATAGAAGAGCTAGAGATTACGTGATAGTCATGCATCACTCAATTCATCCCATCTAATTCGGGAGCATTCTAGTAGTAAGTCCATTTACCTGTTGGTCTAAGCTTTTCTTAGCCGGTAGTAACCTAATTCTACTTGTTGTGGTCCAAAAAATCACTATAGGGGCATGGCTTGTCCAAGCCGCATGCGCATCGATTTTGGAGCTGAGTTGAGTGTTGCAAGTCAAAGGTTAAGAAGCGACTTGGACCACATTGTGGGCTTGTGCGAGCGGCTTGGACTTGGCAACACACGTGAGAATGGGCTAAAGCGCTGGTAGGCTAGACCCACGAGGATCCCAAGATTAAAATCATGGCATAGGTTTGTAATGCAAGTCGAACCTCTATTCATTAATAACATAACGAGCCTATGAAACATGCATACATTATTCTTGTCATGACGTGGTATATGAAGGTTTATGCATCATAGATTATTAATATCTTATATATGATTCCACAACATGGTACAATCACATTATAGCATAATATAGCATAACACGACATAACATGATATAATATAACAACACAACATAGCATAATAATTATAATCATGATACGTGCAAGGGCCATGAGACGTGTAATCAGTGTCGTTCAATTCGTCCAACCAAGCCAACAATAGAGCCACTTACTTGGTTGACCTAGACCCAAGTTACTATCTTATCCTTGGTGTTAACTTGAAACTATCCTTAAAATTCGAGTCAACCTAGGTAGACTTATGATATAGAGTTAGAACACGTTGGAGGGCTTAATCCGCCTAATGATCTCGAATAATTCTCTAGCTTACAACATTTTAAATTGGTGAAATAGTGGCTGAGCCACTCATCTTGATTGCCTCCAAAAAGTCCAACTTGAGTCGGGTAAGCCATCCAAGCCGAGTCGCTAGAGCCACACGAGCCGACCGATGGATGCATCGGCTCAACTAAGCTGCACGCAAGCTCTGTACTAGGAGCGGCTCGGCACACGCAGCAACTCGGGTCGACATGTGGGCTTCGAGTCAATGCACAGGTCGCGACTGGCGTCTGGTCATGGGCCGCATCTTCGTTTGGGCCGCAACTTCTAGGTAATCATGCGAGTCGGGCTGGAGCGTTGACGGGTCGAGAGACGGGCAGGCAATTGGGTAGAACCGTGAGCAGGCTAGTGCGTGCATCTGGACGAGTCTCGGATCCGGTTCAACCCGACTCCGAAGCTGGCCGACGGGTTTCTTCTTCCCTAATCGATTACTGCTATTTTCATCCATTTCTCTCTCTCTCTTTTTTTTTTAAGTTAAAATTATTAATATTTTAAATCAAATATTTTTAAATTTTTAAAAAAAATTTAAAAATTCACAAATATTTTCTAAATAAATTACAACTCGTTTACAAAAAATTTTAAGATATTATTTAAAATTTTAAAACACCAACATATATTTAAGATTATAAGTATTTTTATTAATATAGCCTTAAAATATTTTTTTTTCCTAAAAATTTTATTTCGATAACATATCAAACCTAATCTATGAGTAAAAAATATTGCAAAAAAGAAAAAAAAAACGTTCGAAATTAAATGGCTCTTTCCAAAGATTAAAGAGCCAATCTTTATGTGGGATCAGAGGGCACTCCGTCCTTCCCCATCCACCTTCTCATTCTTTCGGTCGTTTCCTCCACCTGGAAATTAATATATTTATTTTTAAAGTTGAGACATCTATCAAACATAAAATTAAAATTTTGAAAAGTTAATTTAATAAATATAAATATATATATATATATATATTATATAAATTTTTTTAATATTTTATTTAGATATAATTTTAATGCTTAAAACATAGAAAAGAACATAATTTGAAAATATAGTTGGACAAACTCACCTCCTTATTCCAATTGGTCTTATAAACAATAAACAGAAGAATTATTGTCTGCAAGAATGTCCCACATATCATACCAATCCATATGCCCTGCAACGTTAAATCATCGATAGATTCAAAAAGAGGTTCGTTCATGAGTTTAAAACACTCGAGATCAAAAAGCTGCAAAAATTCGTATAACAAATAAATTTTATCGACCTAAGTTTACATCATAACACGAGCTTATAGTCCACGAGATAAACAAACTCGTAGATAATTAGGTTATGCATCAATAAATTCAAAAGGAGGTTCTGTAAACGAGTTTAAAACACTCATTATCAGGAACCAGTAAAAATTCATATAACGACCTACGTTTGGATTCAGATATAAATTTTATCGACCTAGGTTTACATTATAACACGAGCTTATGTCTACAAGAACAACAAACTCGTAAATAATTAGGTTATGCAAGCTCGAGCATCAAAGATAGAGTCGTCTTGTTAATCTTAGGTTATAAAAGACTAACGGATAAATCGAAGAGTTCTAACACGGATCGAAATGCTTACCTCGACGCCTAAACTTGTTTTGTAGCCAAGAAGAAAGCCAAAAGGAAGGCCAACAACATAATAACAAAACAAGTTAATGTAAGCCACTAAAGCTTGCCAACCTCCTCCAACAGCTACACCTGCAAAAACATAATCAAAACCCTAATTTAGAACAAATTTGTCTTCCCATTTTTGCTCCAAATTACAATGTTGTTACCTGATATCACTGGTTGAACACTGTTGAGCACCATTGTTATACCTAAAAGGAAGGCCAAGTTAGAAACTGCCTCTTGCATCTCTTTGCTATCCGTAAATATGATTGCGAAATAGTCTTTCGTTGCTAAGATAAGCGCTGCAAAAAGAAGCCCGATGCAGAGCGACTCGACGACGGTCACGATGACGGAGTACTTTGCTGCCCTTGGATGCCCTAATCCGAGCTCGTTCGATACTCGAACGCTGAACAAGAGAGAAAAAGAATATGAAGGAAGAACTCGGGAAAGGAGAATTTTTTTTTTTTTTTTTTGTAGGGTTTTTGATGTTCTAACCTTACGGCTGCATTGATCCCTATGAATAACATGCCTTCCCATCCATTTAGATTCATGCTGAAATAAGAGTATAAGAACATGTTCATCAGCATTTCGCAAGCGGGGAGCGGGGACGGGGATGGGGACGAAAATGTCTTATAGCCTCCTATTTCAATTTTTATCTCTCTAACATTCTCATTTATAAGAACATGTTCATCAATACTGAAAAATATAAGCATTTCACGAGCGGGGACGGGGACGGGGACAAAAATGTCTTTTCCGTCTCCGTTTGTAACTGCTAGCAGATATTGTCCTCTTTGGAGTTTCTCTTTCGGGCTTCCCCTCAAGGCTTTAAAACGCGCCCCAGATTCTACGCTAGCAGATATTGTCTCTTTGGGCTTTCCCTTTCGGGCTTCCCCTCAAAGCTTTAAAACGCGTCTACTAGGGGAAGGTTTCTACACCCGCCAACCAACCAATATAGGACATCACAATCCACCCCCTTCGGGGCCCAGCGTCCTCACTGGGACTCTATCCTTCCTCCAATTGATGTGGGACCACCCCCAAATCCACTCCCTGTTGGGGCCCAGCGTCTTTACTGACACACCGCCTCGTGTCTACCCTCCTTTTAGGAACAGCAAGAAGGCTGGGGCCCAGCGTCCTTACTGGCACACCGCCTCGTGTCTACCCTCCTTCTAGGAACAACAAGAAGGTTGACACACCATCCGGTGTCTGGCTCTGATACCATTTGTAACAGCCTAGATCCACCGCTAGTAAATATTGTCTTATTTGGTCTTTCCCTTTCCGGCTTCCCCTCAAGCCTTTAAAACGCATCTACTAGGGAAGTTTCCACGCCCTAATAAATGGTGGTTTGTTCTCTTCCCCAACTAATGTCGGACATCACACCGTTCTTACTTGCTATTTCAATTTTTATCTCTGCAAAATTCTTACTTATTTTTACGAGAATCGAGGTGGGGTTCTCTGCAGGGAATACAAAAGTATTGGATTTTCACAGAGAATTTTCCGTCCTTGACCTCATTTAGCTAATTATGAAGAAATTTCTCTTCACTTTCTCCTTCATTCTCCGTTCGGGAATTACCTACTATGTTCGAGCTAGGTCTTTAAAAGGCCCGAACTTCAAGAGGTTAAATGAACATCTCTACCGGTAAGTAAAATTGTTAATATTTTGAAGTTTGATGACCAAAATAGTAATTTTACAAGTATAAGAGGGTGTAAATTACCAAATTGAGAGCGAACCAACGGCAATAATGGGATCATCAAGGTGGCCAGTAAGGACAATTATGGTCATAAAATACCAAATCTCCAAGCAAAGCATAATCGCCGAAGCAAGTGAAAGCTTCATAAAGTCCCATAAGTCCTTGAAAGCCAGCCATGAGAAGCCCTTCCAGCATTCACTACACCACCCAAGAATATAAACCACCTGAGCAATGGAGATTCCCCATGCCGACACGTCGTACGCCGCCGCAGCTCCGGCGATACCCCAATCAAACACTTTGATGAACAAAACCAAAAATCCGACGTGGGCTAAAAGCGCCCCGAACCCAATCCACGCCAATATCCCAACTCGACTCTGAGCTTGTAGAAATTTCTGCGTCGGAAAGTTAATGGCCAAAGAGAACATTTGTGGGATTATTTGAATCGAGAATTTCCCCGCCATGTTCGCGATTTTAGGCTCTTGGCCGAGGAGCTCGAGGATTGGAGTAGCGTAAATGTAGAGTGGAAGTAGAATGACGCATGTGCCTAAAAGAATTATCCATGAACGTTGCATGTAGACTCCTAACATGTTCATTTGACCCGCACCGTATGCCTGCCCGCATAGCGTCTCGAGGGCGCTCCCCATCCCGAGCTATACGGGAAAAAAAGAAACAATTGTCAATAGTCCAACTCCGTGGTCTCAGTAGTTTAAAATTTGTAACGATTTCATTTCTACCATAGAAATTCTTACATAGTTCAAATATGAATAAAAATTTTTCGTGTTCGTGCTCGTGCTCGGAAACAAGAAAAGAGGTACTAACCAAGAACCCGAACGAGAAATTAGAAATGACGTTCAAGGAAATGGCAATGGCAGAGAGCTCCAAATCGCCAATATGGCCAACAAAGATGCTGGTGAATGAGTTCATTCCATAATTACACAAAATATTAAAGGCAATAGGGCCAGCAATTCTCCAAAGCTTTCTCGACTCAATCCAACAAACATATCTCACATCGTCGTACGACCCCACCGGTCGATAATCCTCGCTCGATTCAATCAGCACCGTCGGCGCGTGGTGGAGCACGACGGTGTCCATGGCATCGATGCCATCAAATCTTGCCATGCCGCTCGCCGTTGCTTCTTCTGAAGCTTCATTTTCTTGTTTGGTCCCTATGTTTACTCGTGGGGTTCGGTTTTCTTTTCTTTTCTCTTCGTGGCTTCGTTTCTTCTTGAAATGTCAAACGTTGTCGTTGTCGTTGTTGTTGTGTTTTCTTTTCTCTTCGTTTTCTTTTTTGTGGGTGATTGCTTTATATTTGTTCTCTATGATTTAGGACGACCATAGGTTGTTTGGTACAATCTAGAGGTACCATTCTATCCCTAAAAACAAGCAAACAAACGTCGGTTTAAACCCTACTTTAATCTCGTCTTCATTTTCATCTTAAAACTAAAATATACAACTTAGCACATAAGAACTTACTAGGCCAAAAATTGCTCGTTATTACACAAATCGGTTTAAAAAACAGCTATATTCAACCCATTTTAGGGTTACGTTTATTTTCAGTTTTTACTAAAGGGTTATAAACACATTTTTCAACCTGTGAACGATCAATTTTTTTGTCGGGTCATTATCAACTTCATTAATACTATCGGTACGCATTATTTAATAACGTTGAATAAGTGGTAACAACAATTTTAATATTTTATATAGTTGAATTAATTTTTAAAATAAGCATCTATTTATCTTTGTTTTTTTTTAATTAAAAAAAACTCTTAAAATATATTTTAACATAATTTCAAAATTTAAAAATATTAAATTAAAGTTTTTCAAATTTTAGTAATATTTGGTATAATTTAACCCCAAAAATATTTGTTTGGGCCCCACAATATTTGTAGTAATTAATTTAAAACTTATATTTTGCAATTAATCTGCACCGTACATTAGCGATAACAAAAAAAAAAAACAAATTCTGCAGGCCCCGCAACGTTCTCTGGTTGATGTCACCGTCCATTTCCAACCGCCATTCTTCCTCCGGCTGCCGTTTCTACGCCACCGTTAACATCGGCTGATTTGGCCGTCTCAGATCATTTTCACTGATGTTGATTTGGCCGTCGACCCACTTTGGGTGTTGTCGTCTGGTCCATTCCTTTTCTTTCAACGTCCTGAAAGCCGCTGCTGATTTGAATTCCATTCCTCGAGGTACCAAATTGCACAGCCTCGTCATAAAGTTGGGATTGGCTAATGAACTGTCTGTACAGAACAAACTATTGAAGATTTATGTTAAATGCAGGGATCTGGGTCGTGCACGGAACCTGTTTGATGAAATGCGTAGGAGAAATGTTGTGTCGTGGAATACGGTGATTTGTGGGGTTGTCAATTGCGGGTATGGAGGTGAGTTTAAGATGAGGGAGCGTTCGATTCTCTCATGTTTTAAGAATATGTTGATGGATATGGTAGACCCAGATGGTGTCACGTTTAATGGATTGTTTCGTTCTTGTGATGTGATGAATGATGTTGGAAGTGGCAAGCAATTGCATGGTTTTGTGATCAAAATTGGGTTTGATTTGGATTGTTTTGTGGGGAGTGCAGTGGTTGATTTTTATGCGAAATGTGGGTTATATGAAGATGCGAGATTGGCTTTTAGCAGCGTTCTGTATAAGGATCTGGTTTTGTGGAATGTGATGTTGTACTGTTATGTGTTTAATTGTTTGGCCAAAGAAGCGATTGAAATCTTTTTCTTGATGCAGTTGGAAGGCTTTACAGGTGACGATTTTACATTCAGCAGCCTGCTAAGTTCGTGCAAGTATAAAGGATCAGGGGAATTGGGTAAGCAGCTCCATGTTCATCTTATAAAACACTCATTTGATTTAGATATTCTAGTAGCAAGTTCACTTGTCAATATGTATGCCAAAAACAATCATTTATATGATGCTCGCAAAGCGTTTGATGAAATGCCAATTCGAAATTCTGTGTCTTGGACCACTATGATTGTTGGGTATGGGCAGCAAGAACATGGGAAAGAGGCGGTGAAACTTTTGAGGAGAATGTTTGAGGAAGATTATTACCCTGATGAATTAACTTTTGCTAGTGTGCTAAGTTCATGTGGCTTTACCTCTGGGGCTTCTGAGCTGATCCAGGTTCATTCTTGCTTGATAAAACTTGGTTTTGAAGCATTTTTGTCTGTTAATAATGGTTTGATAAATGCATATTCGAAGTGTGGTACCATTTCCCCAGCTTTACGATGCTTTAGATTAATTGCAGAACCAGATTTGGTTTCATGGACATCAATTATATGTGGATTTGCATTTTGTGGGCTTGAGAAAGCTGCTGTCGAGTTATTTGATAAGATGTTATCTCAGGGCATTAGACCAGATAAAATTGCATTTCTTGGTGTTCTTTCTGCCTGTAGTCATGGGGGATTTGTAAACATGGGGCTTCACTACTTCAACTTAATGACTAATGAGTACCAAATTGTTCCTGATTCAGAGCATTTGACTTGCTTGATTGACCTTATCGGTCGAGCGGGTAGTCTAGACGAGGCTTTTAAGCTTTTGAAATCAGTGTCGGAGGAAGCGGGACCAGATGCTTTCAGGTCGTTTATTCGAGCATGTAGAACTCATGGGCGCTTGAGATTAGCAAAATGGGCAATGGAGTTTGCATCAGATCCATGTAAACCAGTGAATAGTTCTCTAATGTCGAATATGTATGCTTCTGAAGGAAGATGGTCAGATGTGGCGAGAATGCGCAAACTGTTGAAGGATAGTTGTGAACCAAAAGTGCCAGGCTTTAGTTGGATAGAGATTGCTGGTTATAACCATTTGTTTGTATCAAGTGATAGATCCCATCCACAGTCTTCAGATCTCTATGAAATGTTAGGATTATTACTCAACACGGTGAAGAAAGATTACAAGTCCACAGCGTCCAACATAGATATTGAGCCCGAATGAATGCCAAATCTTGGGTGGACATGAACCATAATCCATTTTGAGGTTCAGCCCTTGATTTCAATACCTGTTCATCTAATCTGTAAGTCTAAATTGATTTTGCATACGAACTTTAGGTTTATAAGTAAGGAATACATCTCCATTGGTATGAGATTTTTTGGAGAAACCAAAAACAAAGTCCTGAGAGCTTATGCTCAAAATGGACAATATCATATTATTGTGGAGAGTCGTGGTTCCTAACATGATATTAGAGGCATGCCCTTAACTTAGCCATGTTAATAGAATCCTCAAATGTCGAACAAAGAAGTTGTGAACCTCGAAGGTATAGTCAAAAGTGACTCAAGTATCAAACGAAGGGTGTACTTTGTTCAAAGGCTCCAAAAGAGTCAAGTCTCGATTAAGGAGAGGTTGTTCAAGGACTCAATAGGCCTTAGGGGAGGATCTATGGTATACTTTGTTCAAGGGGAGGATTGTTGAGAATTGTTGGGAGAGAAGTCCCACGTCGGCTAATTAAGGGGTTGATTATGAATTTATAAGCAAGGAATACATCTCTATTGATATGAGGCCTTTTAGGGAAACTAAAAGTAAAGCCACGAGAGCTTATGCTCGAAATGGACAATATCATACTATAGTAGAAAGTCGAACCAAACTCCTTTCCTGTTATTGTGAAGGATTGGTCTTCTAAATGGCTGTAGCTCACGCTTGAGTGAGCAAAGGAAGCAGGAGCTCATTTTGCTAGACCAGCAGTATATGGTGGTAAGCTATTGTTCATCAAACATCCATTCATGTTGGAGTTATTTTGTTGATCTTGACTTTAAAATATCCCTTTAACTAAAGCTTCACGATTGTAGGCTTAACGACAGATGCAGAGATGGGGAATGAGAAGCATACAAAAATACTCAGCCATGGCAATACTTCAACTCGCTACAAGGACGTAAACCGGTACGTTTTAGTTAGTCCCTAAACCAATATTTGAGTTAAAGAAACCAACACTAAAACCAAATTTTCAAAAGCTGACTGAAACGAACTAAAATCTCATTGAATCAAACCAAACGACCCAACAGATAATTTCGAGTTTTCTAGTTTGCCCCCAACAGGAGCTACCTCGAACTGGATAGACATCAGTTATCCAAATTTGGTGACTAAAGCTCTGGTATAAAGTTGTTCAATAAGGATCATAATAGATATACTAGGCATGAATTCAAGCCTGTTATTTTTGGTTCCAATGTTCTTCTCATTGAACCCAAAACAAGTGATCATTCTATCTAATCTAAGTTATGCATATTCACAATTCATGTCCTCCCAAAAGAAGAAAGAATATCACAGAAGAAAACCCAAACCTGTGGACAATAATTTACAGTAAATAATTGAAAAGCTATGTTTGTTTGGTACAAGTCTTCAATCGGCTGAAACTCGCAAAATTGCCTCTTTCTTTCTATACACTTCTAGGCAACGAATTCTGCCTAGCCAATTCATAATTTATGTTAGAACCTCTTTCGTTTTCACCATTCGGAACAATCGAATTGTCACGGTCTAAAACTCTTGCTTCTTTTGAACAGAGGAAGAGGAATGACGACATGTAGATAGTCAAGTGCCAAATGCTGTCAACAATCGAAGAATCGAAACTTAGAGAGACAAAAGAGAGAGGGAAAGATAGAGAGGGGCTGTTTTGTGGTACCTATGCCAAATCCAGTAGGTTTCAGAAGTTTCCAAATTCCAGCTTATGGCAGCCATAGCCAATGCTGTGAAACCTGCAATCATAAAGCCCCATCGATATCTTCTGTATAGAGTCTTCAAAAGCTTGTGCCCCCATGCTTTGATAGATTCCCATCTGCACCTAAATTAATAAGTTTCTGAAGACCAAAAGGGTGGCACCCTGATTTTCAGAGGCCACCTTTTCATATTTCAAATCGCTTCTAAAGGCCGATTTACGTGCTTTAAGAACATAGTTGAAAATAACGCCACAACTATTCTTTTAGTTTTCGAGCCTTAGTTTGGATTTTGAAAACATTTATGAGAAGATTCTCACCTGTGAAGCACATTCAGAGAAATTCGCATCGGTAGGGAGAACGACCTATACTTCGTCGATAACTCAATCAGCCATCCAACAAGAAGACCCAGTGTACCAATTGCTAGCACAATAGCAATATTGGAAGTCCTGCAGACGTTCAAAATTCGGTCACCATAACGGATTACTCTTTTCATCTAAAAGGCAAGCCATATGTGGCATTTTAGTTACCGTGTCGCCTTGGTTATAGCCATGAGAGCAGTTAGGATTGCAACAACGGTATGTATCGCCCTTTTATAAACTTCTTCGATTGTGGCTAGGTACACGAAAGTGCTAACGACAGCCATGAAAGACATCCAGAAGTCCATAAACTGAAAGTTATCAGGTCGTCAGTCTAAATACGGGTAGACAGTTTTACCAATTCATCAGATTGGTTTCGAGGTCTTTTGTGAAAAATGCAGGGCGAACTCGTGGTATAAAATGTTATGATATACTTAATAGGCAAAGACTGATAAGCAAAACTTGTACCTGTAATACATTGAATGACAATGGACACCAAGTTCCTACATCACAAGCATGATATAAAGCACTTGAAATCCCACTTGACGTAAACAGCACCCACTCTGCTAGAGCCTGCAAGAACAATCTTTATGGGTTGGAAAAAGAATTACTTCCTGGAATTCAAGGAAAAACAAGAAAATTGTCATCAGATTTGCCTTTTGTCGAAGAGCCCAAAAGGCGGGAAAGATGGCCGCAGCATTCGACGCGATTAGAGCAATTGATTGTTGCACATGCCCTACATGAATTTCGAGATAATGAAACAGAGTATGAGACTTGAGAATTTGTATAACAGTCAAAGTCCACCTATCGCAGATATTTTTCTCTTTGGGCTTTTCTTTCCCGCTTCCCCCAAGATTTTAAAACTTGTGCGCTAGGGAAAGGTTTTCACACCCTTATAATATTTCGTTCCCCTCTACAACCGATGTGGGATCTCACAATCTACCCCTCTTGGGGCCAGCGTTCTTACTGGCACACCGCCTGGTGTCTAGCTCTTATATCATTTGTAACAGCTCAAACCCACTGCTAGCAGATATTGTCCTCTTTGGGCTTTCCCTTTCAAGCTTCCCCTCAAGGTTTTAAAACACGTCTGCTAGGGAGAGATTTCTACGCCCTTATAAAAAATACTTCATTCCCTTGAAGCTAAAGTAATTTTTACCTTTATGGTCTACTATCTCAACGCTGCAATCAAAGCCTCCATGATTTCTGTCACAGGAACAAAAGCTGGAAGAAAAACAATAACGATACTCAGTTTACCGAGCTAGTGAATCGGAGAGTTAAAAGATCAGAGCACGAAAGTACGCAATGCAAGGATCAATAAAGCACACCTAAACGTTGTGGCTCCACTAGCATCAAAAGCATATTCACATCTTCCATGGGACGAGCACTTGTTCGGGCATCGTTCAAGCGTGACCGACATAATAGTCCGATCTTCGGACAAACTTCTGTTGACTGGATGCCTTAATCCGAAAACCCAAGTTCCTTCACTGGCATATAAAATATAGAAATCTATCTTTACATCACTTGAATTGTAGAGGGAAAGGAATGTTGAGCCACCACTGTTGCTGGTTTGGTTTTTATAACAGTAATCCCAATTATCAAGAGATGGTAATCCACCAAATCTAGCATAGACTTCATACTCCATTGTCTCAGCAGCTGATAATTGGAAGTGAATATTTGCTCCAGCCGAGCCACGAGGAACGTCCAAAGTAAAATACGTCCAAGCATACTTCTCTTGTCCATGATTTGACGTGTTGCTTAGAAGGGGTTCGACAGCAAAGTTCGGTCCTTCGAAGTACTGTTCTTTGATCGGCATAAAATATGATTCGAAAGGAGATGAACCTCTTCCAACGATCGCCTGCAGAAACGCAAATGCATTTAGAACCCATATTCTACAGCTTGTGTATTCATATTATTGTCGTTTACTTGCGCAGGTACAAGATCGAGCTTAGATCGAA